TTTATATGAAGACAACCTTGAAAATTGAAATGTATTAGATTTGGGGGAGGCCCACGAGACCCTTGCATCGGTTCTGCTGAAAGGTATCCCCCCCACCCAAATATCAAACAATGCCCGTTGCAGTAACCATGTAAGCAGCCTTGTGTCTTTTCAGCAGAGACAAGAAACAACACGTTTTAATATCTTTAGCAGGTCAAATACCAAAGCCATTTGTGAATAAGAACAGAATAAGATGTTATGTCAAGAATTCCTATCGAGTCCAAGTGGTCCTACTCATCATGGCTGATTTAAGAGAGAAAAAAAAAGTTTATTATAACCCTGGGGGCACAAGCATAGCAATGATGAGGCACCCCCACAAACGTGAAGATTATAAATTTAGAAATTGCTTTCTTTACGATTCGGATACGACACTGAGCAGATATGCCATTTCTAGAAAATCTGAATGAATGAGTGTGCTTAAAGACTTCTAGAAAATCTGAAGCAGTGAATGTGCTTAAAGACTTCTAGAAAATCTGAAGCAGTGAATGTGACTTCTAAAAATCTGAAGCAGTAGAAAAAGATTTCTAGAAAATCTGAAGCAGTGAATGTGCTTAAAGACTTCTAGAAAATCTGAAGCAGTGAATGTGCTTAAAGACTTCTAGAAAATCTGAAGCAGTGAATGTGCTTAAAGACTTCTAGAAAATCTGAAGCAGTGAATGTGCTTAAAGATTTCTAGAAAATCTGAAGCAGTGAATGTGCTTAAAGACTTCTAGAAAATCTGAAGCAGTGAATGTGCTTAAAGATTTCTAGAAAATCTGAACGAATGAGTGTTTAAAACCCAAACAGAACCTTGCATGATTGTGAAGCTCTACGTAGCCGTGTGCCTAAACTACGCCACGGCAGATATTGGTTTCTCCTGCAAAGGGGATCCCGGGTTCAAATCTTGACGTAAAGCTCATTTTTTAAAAAACTGTTCTTAAGTGTGCAGGTCGATAGACGAAATAAATGCTGTTTAGAATAACACAGAACGTCTAACCCAATACAGTCATTCATTAAAAAATATCGTTTATTGTAATAAAAATATGCCGGATTAAAAAATAAAATCCATGGATTCTTTCGAAATATATATTACCTAGTCAAGTTCCAAAACGAAATGTTATTAGTTGCATTAAATTAAAAAATACACCGTCTACAAAAACATCTCTCAATGAGTAATTCCCATTTGAGTTTTTTCTCGCTCCGTTGATGAAGGACACAGGTGTGTCCAAAAATTCCGGATTTAAAACCTTTTTTCCGTTTTTCATTTCTGTCATATGGTTAATAATTATTATTTAATAAATAATTTTCGTACTAATTATATTGGTACCCTTTCGTTTATCCTTGTTTTATTAAATTATCTATCTATCTATCTGTCTGTCATATACATATATATATATAGTGGATTTAATAGACTGGTTATATAAAGTAGAGGAATAAAAAGCCAACAAAATGATAACAATATTGGCAATACGTTTGATGATATTATATATTAGCCTTTTGATTAAATTGAAGCACCAAGAGAAAGATTTTAAATTCGGAATTTTCGGACACGCCAAGATCCTTTTTCAACGAGACAAGGATTAAACAAAGACTTGCGCGTCCGAGGAATAATCTTGTTATTGCTGGTTAGATAGCTCCCTGTGGAAATTATACTCTTTGAATAAACACAAATTCCTGTTTAATCCCTCAATGTGTTATTTCATATTTGAAATATATTTCAACTGTGAGATATATATATAATGAACTATAGTTGTTCCCGAGAGCATGCTGATGTCTTACTTATTTGTACCTTTGATGAACTTTAAGGCCAGCTCGAGACTCACACTAAATTCCGCATATAGAACAAGCAACAGCAACCTTTGTAAAGGTTGCAAGAATGTTAGGCCGGTGTCAAGTGTTGTAATTTGTAATACGTATATTTTCAATGTGTGACCTTACAAAAGGTTGCAATACCCACAGACACACACGCTTGCATATACACAGATAAACACACACGTATATTGTATGAAAGAGGTAATCATACAAAGAATTAATTAGTAATGTTATTTTAATTAATGGCGAAATCTCTTCGCCAACAAGAATTAATAAGGCATTAACTTACTAACAATTCATTGCATAACACGATCTTTATGTTTAAAAATTGTTGTCAGATGGATTTGATGTTGCTGAGTCGAGTATTTTCGAAAATTTCATATTTTAATCCCCAGGGCGTAATTTTTCAATTTACGGGTAAACTTCATGACGAATTAAATGTTTTGTAGACCGAAAGATGTTTTTTTAAAAATGTTATTTACTGACAGTTGTAGAATTTTGGAACGTGCGATATATAATATAAATACTGCACAACCTTATATATATATATATATATATGTCTTCACATGTAAAAGCAAAAATCAATTTTTAACTAAATATTTGTCCAAACAAAGCGACCTACTATCTGTGTTGTCATGGTGCCTGAAGGGCGTCTGAGAACAAAAAGTCGTTGAGTAATACAAAGAAAAATATGTTGCTTGTAAGTAATGTTTAAACAGTACACGACATACTTAATAAAATAGGTAAATAAATGTTTTTCATGCTGAAGGAACATAGAATTTGCGGCTTACTTATAATGTCACGACTGGGACTTATTGCTCTAATTGTCAAAATGTTTGTTCACGCAAAGTATTACATATAGTGACACACAAAACACCTAAAAAAAAGTCACTAAAGGCATCTTGTGCGTTGTGTCCTTTCAGGACGTGAACAATCATCACAGCTAAAAAAAATGATGTTGTTACAACGATACATATAGGTTACAACACCTTTTTTTTTGTAGACTACCCACAATGTGCCCTTCATTAAGTAACGTTACAAACACGATATCTTGTCACGTTAACTTGGTTGATCGATTTGTTTTTACGGTTTCTTTGCAGGTTAATTAAACCCAGAAAATGTTTTTAGATTCTAATAAATCTTTGGAAATATTAACGATTTAGCGCTATATCAACCTCTATGAGCTTTTTAATGGCGAAACGTAAAGTTACATGCAAAACTTACGTGCAAATACCATTGGAAAAGGTTTAAAACCGCCTCTTCCACCCATCTGTGGATTAATTAGTAGGACTTGTATCAGTAAATAATTATTATCTCCAGAAGAATTTTTACAATCTAAAAATATTTTCTAGCTTTAAATAACCCGAAGAAGGTTGATAAGCTGTAAAAATCAAATCAATCAATCAATACAGCCTTTAGTTAACAAGTTGTCTAGATTTTTAATTAAATGCAGCACTGTTAAACATTAAGTTTTTAACTAGTATTTCTGCAATCTTAATTTTAGTGGCTTTTTATTGCAGTTACTAAACCGCCATTCTACTGGGAACACTGCTGTTGGAGAACAAAGAGTCGGCACTTGGCTGTATTTGAAACCGCATCCTCTTTACTTTGCTAAGAATATCTTGTATATCTTAGAAACCCTTGGGAAATTATCTCCTCCCCAAAAATAGAATTTCGTACAAATAAGGCACGGTGGAATAATAGATTGTAGAATCGGAGAGTCGAGTTCGAATTTCAGTTGAATTCATTACATTCACTCACGCGCTAATATCCTTGGGAAAGGTATGAATCCATTTATCCCCCCCACCTATGAGTAAATAGACTTCTGCCTATGAGAAGGGAGAACTGAGTTCAGAATCGGTCTGGAGACTGTCAGGCTATCTTGTCGGGGAAACTGCTACTGCGGCTGAAGTACGTATGGTGTGGGTCTCGTGAGCTTGAATTGGAACTCAGCTTTCCGATTTCTAATGCTGAGTCGTTATCCATTACACCACCCACACATCCAAGGTTACCGTACATAATATCCCCAAGCGTACTGACCTAGCTTGGCGTTGCTTAACTTCGGTGATCGATCGAGAACCGGTGTTTCAACATAAGCCTTACATTAACAGAAAATAGATAATTAATCCCTGGAATATATCAGAAAGTGTATTCTTCATCTAAATTAGTGATTCCCAATTAAAAAATAGGAAGATAACCGTACAGAATTGTGCATTGTGGTTACTTAGGGAAGGTTACTTTATAGAATAATGACACGAAGGTTGACTATGAACGATAATACCTAGAACACGAATAACACATATAAGATTCGCTAGCGGCGCGTAGAAGTAGTAAATTGCTAGAAGTGATTCAAGTGGATTCCACAATGAATCTCCAACTACAGGATATCTACCAACCGCCCCACGCGGTCAGATGTGGCACAAGGCCGAATTTCCTGTAGACCCCGTATAAAACGGAGGTCGGATAGTTGTTTCCCGAGACGAGACTCTGCCCTTCTCGTTTGGGGATCCTCTCAGCACGAAGGCAGAGAGTTTGACCAGCAAAGCTGGAGACGAATCTCCGATTGCAGACCAACATACAGTATTTACTATTGTATTTATGTGAACGGGGAGATACCCATCATCGTTTTGAACAAGTAAATGGCTAAAGAAATAACAAAACAAGTGTTACAGATATATCATATATTAAACAGTAAGTACAACAGAAGAGTATTACACGACTAGTGAGTGTGTGTCGAATGACCCAGCATTCGATTTATTCCACTGTTCTCCCCCCAAGGCCTTCTCTCCTACTAATCTTATAGTAGGCAGAAGAATCTAACATAATAATAATGATGATCAGTAATAAATAACCTCTACCCGTTTTCCTAGACTTCGAAAAGAACATTTGACAAAGTGGACAACAATTAATACAATGAATAAATATAACATAGTTAACAAATTGATCCATACTATATATTATACAGCAGTTGCATGCTGATTTACTAATCGTAGCTTTGATGTGGCACAGGGCCGAAAGTATGGAGCACCGTGTGAGGATCGAACTCGCTGTTCATAAATAATCTAGCAAGACAAGCTTGCTAATCATTAGACCACGTTGAAGTGCCCCATGATGACGTAAGCAGCGCGGTAAAGTTTCAATGTTCCATAGACTTATCTTCTCTACGCTCAATGTCTTTCTTGAGTGAGGCTCTTGAGGAACACCGGGACACAATCAGCATCGGAAGTCGCAAAATCTTGGTGAAGAACCCGGATGAAACATCATCCATATATGCCATTGAAATTAATAATGGAAAAAGAAAAAAATAGAAGCTCGTGACAAACATTGAGGAAGCGGTTTCAACCACGATAAAAGTCGATAGTCAGGAACTTGAAGTAGCGGGGGCCAATTCAAATATCTTGGATCGATTATCAATGAAGAGGGTTCCAAAATAATATTTCAAGAGCAGCACAAACAATGGCAGCTGTCGCAAAACTAAGAACCACCCGGAAAGACAAGAACATCTGCCTGAAATCAAAGATTGGATTTGTCAGTATTCCTGTAGGCCAGCGAATCTTGAACAGAATTACGGATTAATTTGCAGTATAAACACCAAAAACGCCCCCGATATTGAGAATGTATCATTCTAGTGTGAAATTGCCTGGTCATTATTTCGAAAGTGACATTAAAACATTGCGCTCGATTATCGTTTAGAAATTATGGACAATGAAAGTTCGACTTCTTTCTCGTCGCGTCCGCAGAACATCCGCCATTACTGACTTTGTTTGCCTCGAGTAGTTATGCGGCGCGGAAGCTTCACTTGTCTTGATTACTGCGCAATGCGTGAAGTTTGAAATGAAAGCGCGAAAAAAAATGTAAAATCCGACAATTAAAATAAAATAAAAATTACGTGCCTGAAAAGTAAAAAACGGATAAAAATTAAAAAAAAAAAACATCGTTATGTTTTTTTTTTTTTTTAATTTTAATTTTTTACTTTTATTATGTCGTAAAAGTTTCTTAAATTTAAAGCTTCATAAATTATATTTTACGGTGAGATTGTTTCATTAGCTATAAGCAGATTTTAAGGATAATAAAGAAAAAATACTATTCATTTAAAACTTCATTTCAAAAAATAAGCGCATTCTAAAATAATATCCGCGAGAATCTCGCAGTAATGTAGTAATCAAGACTAGTAAGATACGAAAAGCTGTAAAAAGGCCGTTAACTAATTAACCTTCCGCGTATTAATACTAGAAGGAAACGTGTGTAAAGAACGCCAGTAATGGTTGCCGGAGAACGCGAAAGAGATTGAAATTACACTGACGATAAATCGAAAACGGTAATCGAGCGCAATGTTTCAATCATTAATGTCATTTTCGAAATAATGACCAGGCAATTTCACACCAGAAATAGGCATCTCCTAAGTAATTCTGAAAAAAAAATGATGCAGTTCGAAAAAACATCAGCCAAGAAACAAGCTCATTTGAAAGAACTTCTAGCCAACGTCAAGAAGAGTCGAAATGTTATGACCCAGTCATAAAAGCTAGCAATCTGTTCGCTGTCATCCGACAGGCAAAAGAAGAGGCATCCAGAAGAGAAAAATGGAGTGACAGTGTCACTGAGTGGACCAGAATATCCTTTAGACATTGGCACGCAACCGGGACATGAGGTGGGAGCTGGTCAGATTCTTTTTTAATCATTTAATCATTTCACCTCGAGTAAGGCTATAAAGCCACCAAGGGTTTACTGAGTGTGAAATAATCTGAGGAAATCTTTATCGGGATAAGCAACAAAAGGACAGGGTTCAAGGGGACAGAAGAGGGCGATTGACATTGCATATAAATATTTGAAGATCTTAGTTGACTGAAAAGCAGGAAGCCGTAATAGATTTCCACAAGTGAGAAGTGCGAGAGATGAAACACTCGGTCATGATGAGAATTGTGAAGAGAGAATAAGGAGAAAAATAACGAAGAAAGTGAGAGAAAGGAAAATACAGAAGAGAAGGAGAGAGAGAGAAAATACAGGAGAGAGGGAGAGAGAGAAAACAGAAGAGAGAGAAAATACAGGAGAGAGAGAGAAGAGAGAGAGAGAGAAAAAATACAGGAGAGAGAGAAAATAGAGAGGAGAGAAAGAGAGAAAATACAGGAGAGAAGGAGAAACTACAGAAGAGAAGGAGAGAATGAGAAACTACAGGAGAGAAGGAGAGAAAGAAAAAATACAGGAAAGAGAGCGAGAGAAAAATACAAGAGAGAAAGAGAGAAAGTTTTGTCATTTATCAGGGATCAAAGTAAGCCTTACTGACAGTCTAGGTCTATTTGAATGATTTTAAATATTTTGAAAGTAACATTCTTTAGACGATATTGGCTTCATTCATTTGGAATGTTAGCGTGTCACTGGCATGAAAAGAAAAAAAATGTGACAATTCTTATAATTAAACTAAGTGTTTACAAGCACTGTATTATTCGTAAAATAAATAAATGGAACAAGTTAAATCAGCTCCTATCGTTCTAAAAATTTAGTATATGTTTAGATAATCTCTCACTTTCTCTCTTTCTCTTTCTCTCTCTCTCTCTTTCTCTCTCTTTCTCTCTCTCTCTCTCTCTTTCTCTCTCTCTCTCACTTTTCTCCTCTCTCTCTCTCTTCTCTCTCTCTCACTTTCTCTCTCTCTCTCTCTCTCTTTCTCGCACTCTCTCTCGCACTCTCTCTCTCTCTCACTCTTTCTCGCACTCTCTCTCTCTCTCTTTCTCGCACTCTCTCTCTCTTTCTCTCCCACTCTTTTCTCTCTCTCATTCTTTCTCTCTCTCTCTGTCTGTCTCTCTCTCTCTTCTTTTCTTCTCTCTCTCTCTCTCACTCATTCTTTCTCGCACTCTCTCTCTCTCACTCATTCTTTCTCGCACTCTCTGTCTGTCTCTCACTCATTTCTTTCTCCTCGCCTCTCTGTCTCTCACTCATTCTTTCTCGCACTCTCTGTCTGTCTCTCACTCATTCTTTCTCGCACTCTCTGTCTGTCTCTCACTCATTCTTTCTCGCACTCTCTGTCTGTCTCTCACTCATTCTTTCTCGCACTCTCTGTCTGTCTCTCACTCATTCTTTCTCGCACTCTGTGTCTGTCTCTCACTCATTCTTTCTCTCTCTCTGTCTGTCTCTCACTCATTCTTTCTCGAATTCTTTCTCTTTTCTCTGTCTGTCTCTCACTCATTCTTTCTCACCCTCTCTGTCTGTCTCTCAGAAAATGTCTCTCCTCATTCTTTCTCGCAAATAGTCTGTTCTCATTCTTTTGTCTGTTCTTTTCTTTCTCGCATAGGAAAAAATGTCTCTCTCCTCATTTTCTCGCACCTCTGTCTGTCTCTCACTCCCCTCTGTCTGTCTCTCACTCATTCTTTCTCGCACTCTCTGTCTGTCTCCAATTCTTTCTCACCTCTCTATGCTCTCTCCTCATTTTTCTCGCACTCTCTCTCTCTCTGATCTCTCTTTATCTAATATCATTTAACTCTGAAAAGCAAAAAATGAAAATAGAATGTTCTTTGCATAGGAAAAAAATGTTATTAAAGGTTTTTATGATAATCATTTAACTCTGAACAAATGAACTGCAATATTATTTGTAACCGGACCTACCCCACTGAATATTTACATGGTTTACTGCAAGTATATTACCATTCCTTAACAGTTGACATGTCTATTTCATATGCGTTATGTGGACGTGGCCGAGTGGTTAGAACATTCGCATTCTGATTCGGGTTCGAATCTCAACATGGTCGATTTGCCAGGAAGGAGAATTCCTGATTTTATCGGACTGGAAAGACCCAAGCCTTGTGAGGGAAATTAGCCGTCAATAATTGTGCTAGCACAAAGTCACAAGTCATCGTGGCCGAGGGAAATACAGAAAAAAAGAGAGAGAAAAATACAGGAGAGAGAGAGGAAGAGAAAAAATACAAGCGAGAAAGAGAGAGAATGCCGAAGAGATAGAGAGGAAAAGAAAATGAGGGAGAGAGAGAGAAGATGGCCTTATTCAAATTGTTGATGACGCTCTATAACGTATATTTCATAGTTGCAGTATAACCCACAGGTGGGCTCTGTGGGTGTTGAATAAACACAAATGCGCCTGCAAATGGGATTGGCTAGCCGGGCATCCTGGAATACGAGTGGTTAGCTATACAATAGCTGGACGACCATTTTGAAATGAGTTCTGGATAGTGTCCAGTTAAAAAAAAGTAAGATTTCTAGAATTCGCAGGCCGATGGGCGTAATAAACACTGTTTAATAAATAAAAATGGAGCGTCTGTTTCAAATACGAAGTACCCACTATAATAACGTTTGAAGGTCGGATAAAAATAAATGGATTAATTCTTTAGAAAATTCTTTGTTTTTGTTTCGGATATGAAACTTTCGAGAAAAATAATCTGAGTGACTTGGAAATGGTTTCCTTAAAAGAGAAAATAGAATCTTGCTTACTGTGATGTTCTTCATGGCCGCGCCGTAATGCACGTTGGATTCCCTAGATTCAATCCTTCCCGGGAAACACATTTTCTTTACTAAGACTTCTTGAATGCACAAGCCGATAGACGTCCTATAAACCGTTTATTAAATAAAAAAAATGAGACGTCTATTTGAAATACGTAGTATCCACTATAATAACCTTTGCCCATACATACATAAATGCACACACACACACACACACACACACACACACACACACACACACACACACACATATATATATATATATATATACATACACACATTATTTTAGTATATTGCATCGAAAAACATGTCAAAATCGCTACACAATTGCAGTCGTGTTTCGATGCGTATCACTGCATCTCATGAGGCGATTGTAAACTACTGGTGAGTGGACGATTTAATTAGATTTAAAGGCAAAAATACAGCCATTTTTTTTTTTTTTTTTTTTTTTACGAAAAAAAAAGGTGAGAGTTATAAGGTTTGTAATTGTGAAGCGATTTTGACATGTTTTCGATGTAATATCCTAAAATAAAGAATGTTGCTCTATTTTGCCAATGCAAAAATAGAGCAACATTCTTTTAAATTAAATTAAAATGTTAATTAAATTAACATTCTTTTAAATTAAATGTTAAGAACGATGCAATTGTACTCTATTGGTTCTCATCTTACCTGGGATATATATATATATATATATATATATATATATATATATATATATATATATATATGAAATGTGTGTATTTCGGCAGCATGTTTTCATTTACACAGGTAAATAATGTAGACACGTATAAAAATAAATATATAATAAAATATAAAAATGGTAATTTTCGGATGAGCATAACAATTTTTGTCCTTCACAACCATGAACACTTAATACTTATTCTATATTTAACAATAGCATAATGTCATCATCAGGGTATGTCGAAAGTACTCGGAAATAAATACAATATGAGCCAACATAGTGTTTTTCTCTTGTCTTTTAACAACCTCACAAAAAGCTCATTCGCGAATATGAAAGGATCTTATCGATAATAAGTAGACAGAACGCATCTAAATTATTTAACATAGCCTGTCTGAGTATATATAAAAAATTATATAAAATTAGTAAGACTACCAAAAAGGGAGCTTACAGCTACATCACATAGAAACAGTGGTTTCCGTACGATCAGCGAAGTCAAGCCATGTCAGTATCTAGATGGGTGACTACTTCAGGATGTCAGGTGCTGTAAGCTTGGATGTGCGAGTGGTGCAATGGATAATGACTCGGAATTGTTAATCGGGGAGCTGAGTTCCAATTCTCGCTGACCCCATTATATTCACATTCTCGGAAATACCCTTGGGAAAGCTATTGATTCATATATTTCCCCAGTTATGGGTTAATTAGTAACACTTGTATCACTAAACCATTATTATCACTAAAAAAAAAAAAAAAGAAAAAAGAAGAAAAACTTTAATTATTACAATCTAAAAATATTTTCTGGCTTTAAATAACCTGCAAAGGGTTGATAAACCGTAAAAAAAATGAATCAATCAATCAAAAAGGAAATCCCCCCAAAGATTGATATTCAATCAGATTTTGGGAAGTGGAAGAGAAACAAAAGATTTTCATATCTCACCACAAAATACTACACAAAAGTTTAAAGCCTTTCGTCAGTATATACAAAGCAAATGCAGCTACCATTTACAAGCAGCTCTTTTGGCAAAATAAGGGGGCTTAAAAAGTATTCGAGAACCTTTTCTGTCTGCCATCATCATGGCTGATGCTAAATTACAGAAGAGCATCACTCTGTCGCTTTGGCCTCACGCTTTCCACTGACATGATGAGGAACGAATACATTGAATCATTAGCTGCATCTACTGCAAGGAAAGTTGATTCACTGTGTCATGCCAGAAGTTTTTCTCGTCAGAATACATCGTGCACATTTATAAATCGTTCGTGCATTGAATACTGTCTCTATATCTGGTCTGGTTCTCCTGCTGTTCGTTTCTGGAATCTTAAAAAAAAATCAAAAGAAAGGTCTCTAATGCTATCAGTCTGGACCTGGCATCTCGGCTACAGTCACTTTCTCATCGACGTGACGTGGCTTCCCTTGTCCTTTCTACAAATATTTACATTGCATTTCTGATGAGCTTTTTTTTCCCCCTTGGTGCCCCGACTCTTCGAATTTAACGATGCTACTAGATTGGCAACTAGGTCTCACCGTTCTACTGTGGAACAAGCTAAATGCAACCGCCACTTCTACTCTAACAGTTTCTTTTCTCGCACTTCTCACCGATTTCTTGCTTCCCTGACAATTACCGTTTTCAAAAATTTAAATGCAATGTCAATTGTCATCTTCTGTCTTTTTGAACTTTGTTCCTTTTTTTTTTTGTCTTTTCTTCCATCCTCCCCATTCTCAGTCTTATCATTCTATTTCATTTTCATGCTCTGTAAATCCTTGCGTCTTAGTGGCATTATCTCCTTCCTTGGGGTGAAACAATTAAGAAAAATAAAAGGATGTGGACCCTATATATGTTCGTCAATAAGTCTGTAATAATGCGAATATGATGCGAACACAAATTCCAATCAATACCTAAATATTGCCCGCATTTTTTACGGATATTTTGCTCGTATACATAAGTCCGAAGCGATCTCACTTCCTAAAATTAGTATTTTAAGGATAAAACATCCGAATACTGATTTGGGGAAGTGGGTCGAGCAGAGAACTTTTCAGCACCCACTCGTATATATTAGTCACCTGATTGTACTTTGTGGGGGTTGGTAGCACATATCTGAGTAGAGAGCGACACAGGTGAAGCTTTCCTATATGACAACCTTTCAATTCAATTCAATGGACATCCTTTAACACCTTTAATAATAGCACCAATCTAAGTGCCAGCCACTCATTAATGACACTTGGAAAAGGGTTTTTTTTCCCTTGCTTTCTAAGCACCCATACAATGAATTCATCTCTATGCCAATATAAGCAGACGCACTCAATACAATTTACGTATGCAGACAGACTTGGTTTGAATTCCTGCAGCACACAAGCAACACAAAAAATGAAAACTTCAAGTTCAACTACGACCTTCCTATTTCATGTGCAAACGCTTTCCTATTTTCAAAACGTTAAAATTACAAACTTTGGGGCATACAAAAAAAAAACTGTCTGTAAACTGAAAATATGAATAAAACCAGTGAATCGGAATTTTAACCGTCACACAATAGATAATATTACAATCGTTGCCTGGCGTCACCCAGTAAATATAACGTTGTTGATGTCTCTCTGGCGCCTATATGTTATCCGTGGTTATCACAAATACGTACGTTTCTGATATGCGAGCCTGGAGGGTTTTTTTTTAATGCCTTAGACAATCATGGCCTTTTACAAATTTTGTTTGCTGTCCTCCTTTACGGCAGCGAATGTTGTACAGCCTCCTCAAAGATGAAGAAAAGACTCGAGTCAACGGAGGTACGGTTCTACAGAAGGATGATAAGGACATCATGGACCGAGAGTGTGAGCAACGATGCAGTTTTGGAGAGGGTGCAAACAAGGAGGAAGCTTATACTTAACATCAGGAAGAGACAGCTGAAACTTCTGGGACACGTAATCTGAGAAAGAGGGGGAAAAGTGACAAGGGAGAATCTGATACTCACAGGACAAAGGACAACACTTATTGGTTACAGATGATCCAGTGACGGGACCCAAAAGAAAGAAATTAACTGTGAACTGAAATTATTTGTATAATACCTTTGTTAAATTCGGTGGAGAACTTCGTCCAGAGGTGAATGTGACGGGACCAAAAGTTATGGGTCCAATACCTGAGATAACTGATAATTAACAGATATCCATTAGACCATTATGGCACGTGGAACTAGAACAGTCTACCCCAGTGAGCGAAATAAAGGGTTCAGTTCGACATTCCAACCACCTGAAGAAGGCCGGAGCGTACAACGGCCGAGACGTTGTGATAAATATGGCAACAAAGATGAGGACAATAGTCCGAATAATGTAAATAGTGTA